AAAAAAAAAAAAAAAAAAGAATATCACTAATCACTGAGCATTATTAGCAGTGCTGGTGAATGGGGATGATGTTAGTGAAATATTTAGAAATATTATACTAATTAGAATTACAGCTGTAACACTTGGCAACTGTCAATTTATATGAGAAAATTCCTATGTTTGTTCTGGCATGGGCGCTTAATTTCTTCAAGTTTACTTGCACATATATATATCTGCATATTATTTATATGAAGAAAATCTTAGGAGTCAAACAAATTATGATAATATCCCTACGATATCATGTATCCACTTTAGGTCTTAATAAAATCAAACATTTGAAGCTCTGGGAATTCACTAGTATTTCATGTTTGTCTTTCAAATTCTCTGCTATAGTTATTTCTAGTTTCTCCCTTTACTTACCCATAAAATTTTCTTCGCTAATTTAGGTAACTGATACCAGCAAGGAGTGTGATTGGATGATTGAATGAAATCTTTCTAAGAAGTTTTAGATTATTGAACAGAGAAATTCCCGATAGAAAGCATTTTTCCCTTTAGTGAATCATAGACCATAGTGTGAATAATGATTAGTCAGACCTGTAAATTTTAAATACCGAATATCTAATTAGCTTAAACAGTCATGGATTTTTTTTCTTGAAGTCATATCATGATGTGCGGGTAGGTGGGGTCTTGTCATGTCTATATATACAAGTTATAAACTGTGTAATTAGACTATCTAACACATTTTTTCACACTAGCTACCCCTAGTCACTAAGGCTAAATTAAAGATCTGATTTTGCTAATATTCTTGATAATGATTGCTTTAATGATGCTAGCTAGCACAATTATCAAATTTAAGTAGGTTTTTTTCTTTTTTAGAAAAAAGCTATACATAATGCTAATAGTACAATTAAAGGAAGTAAACAAGAAGGAAGAAAAAGAGAAGCTAAAATACTTTACTAGGACCCATTCATTGTCTCCTTGGTACCCCATGATATGATTTCCATCTTTCTCAGCTGCAATTCTACTCAACTCTTTCTTCTCCCTCCATATTATTTTCCCTTATCTTAGTATAAACAATTCAATCAAATTTCTGCCTGAAATGATAACTTGCTCCCTAAATCTTTATCAAGCATATTGATTTGAAAAAAAATTAAAAAAATTGTCAACCTAGGTTTTACAAACTACAACATGCAAGCTATGATGTCAAATGGTCATAGAAGAGTCGAAGAAGGAGAAGGATCATCATCAAGATCATCAACTACTGTAACCCTAGCACCATCTGATCACCATCGTCAGCTACCACCGCCGCCCCAACTGAGCAGGTACGAGTCTCAAAAACGTCGCGATTGGAATACTTTTGGACAGTACTTGAAAAACCTAAGGCCACCAATTCCTTTATCCCAGTGCAACTATAACCATGTACTAGAATTTCTCCGATACCTAGATCAATTCGGAAAAACTAAGGTGCATTTACATGGTTGCCCTTTTTTCGGGCAACCAGAGCCACCAGGACCCTGTGCTTGTCCTCTCAGACAAGCATGGGGTAGCCTAGATGCACTCATTGGTCGGCTTAGAGCTGCCTATGAAGAAAACGGTGGTTTGCCCGAGAATAATCCTTTTGCAAGTGGTTCTATACGTATTTATCTTCGTGAGGTAAGGGATTTTCAAGCTAAAGCAAGAGGAATTTCTTATAAGAAAAAAAAGAAGAAGAGGAAGTTGCAAATTAATGCAAGTACAAATGTTGAGCCAACTGCAACATTTCAGCTGCAATCTTCTTGAATTGTTTTGGCAGCTTCTGAAGGAACAAGCAAAAGGTAGTTAAAATATGTTACTATGTGTTTTTCAATAAGAGGATATTGCTTTGTTCTTTTTACAAATATGTGTCTCAGTTTTTTGATACCATGAAGGATAACTTCATGATGTGAACATGTAAAATATATATAGTTCCTATTAAATTTTGAATTAAAGGAATTTCTCTATGCTACATGGATTGGATCTCTATGTTATTCTGCGTCATTGTACGAGGAAATCCCTAGAAACAACAACAACAATCACAAACCCAGTGAAATTCCACATGTGAGGCCTGAGGAGGGTAATATGTATGCAGACCTTATCCTCATCTTATGAAAAAAGAGATTGTTTCCGATAGACCCTCGACTCAAGAACAGCGAAGGAAATCCCTAGAAACATGAATAATATTCATATAATGAGCTGGCTTCAGGCTTAGAGAGGTAGATTTAGACTAGACGCAACGAGTTTGACGGAATTCACAACATCTAGCTTTGATTTTAAAATATATACTGTGTGCGGAAAAAAAATGATACATATATAAAGAGCAGAATTAATCTACTAACTCTACATTCTGGATTAGTCAATGGCGGTTCAGTATAGGTGAATCCTTAGCTACAATTTAAAACCCTAAAGTTCTTCAGAGTTCTGAGAGAAAATTCGATATTTACTATGGTTTATAAGAATTCTCTCTTTCTTCTCTCTCTAGACCCTCAGCAACACTCACAGTACAATATCAGTTTTTTCCCCTTTGTAGGGGTCATGTAGCTAAGATTTGAATGTAATCTTTGGTTGCTTTTGTCTAATCTTGCCTCTTTTGGGATTCTGCACGATCTTTGTGCCTGCCATGGATGCTCATTAAGTATAATTAATTAACTAAATAAGGTGATTAATGGTTTGATAATATATACTCCCTCCGTTTACTTTTACTTGTCCACTATTGGTTTTGCACACCCCTTAAGAAATAATAAATTAAGTGTATAATTTATCATGATACCATGTTAATTGGTGTATATTCTTAATATATTTGGAAAATGATACGGAATGAGTAATTAATGATAAGCGCAAAACAGGACAAATAAATTATTTTTCTCTTGATATATGAAAAATGACAAGTAAAAATGAAAATTTATTTTTAGAATATTAGACAACTAAAAGTGAACGGAAGGAGTATAATATTAAGTATCTGAAAATCTATGTATAAGAGGTTTGTCTTTTGGTGTATGTGTACTGTGTACATGGTATGTCTCTCTTTATGTGTGATAAATCCTTTGGAGATTTCCAATAACAAGAAAGAGACATTCTACTGCTCCTTGCGCTAATATCTTTCAGTTTGTTTTAGGGCGGCCATACTAAATGTCATTTTTGTTTGTTTCCTACTAGGCAGTTCCATAATTGAGCCATTTTTTGTTGGGAAAAATAATATTCCGTTCAGGAATAATATTCACGGTAAATGATAATAATAATAATAATACAAGAAATTAATAACGACATCAAATTATTTAACTGGATAAAATACAATACCTGAGCGGAGCAATATAATATCACTATAATATTACAACTTGGTAGTGTTAAGAGACTACTACAACATCAAAAGAAATAACACTCTTTATTTTATACGATATTGCTCTCACTCTCTATTTATCTCACAGACAACAATCTGCGGATTACTCTCTCTACGCTCTATTGCGTTCACTCTGATTTTTGGTGTATTTTCAATGAGGAACGAATAACTCCTTTTATAAGCAAAATTGCCGTCCAAGTGAACCAATCAGAATTGGTTCTTGCAAGTTGCAAGATTTGTAACAACCAAAAAACCCAAAACCAATTTGTTATGGTTTTGCAATTGGTTTCTGCAGCGCCTACCATAGCATTTCATTCCTCCAAACATATTTTTTCTTTTCTTTTTTTTTTCTTTTATTCAATATGGACCCCATAAATCTCCCCCTTAATTTTGATATTTCTCTTCATTCTAAGTCTGGATCTCAATCTCTGAAAATCTTCAAACTTCAACGATTTTGTGAAAATATCCGCAACTTGATCATGAGACTTCACATATTTAAGTTCTACTTTCTTGTTGGCAGCATATTGCCTTTGCTTGTAGCCTTTAACCACAAGTGTTGTCTTGTATCTCTTCACCTTTTTGTCAGCGTTCTTCTTTATCTTGTATACCCATTTCACTCCAATTGCTCGATGACCCTTGGGAAGAGTTGTTAACTCCCAAGTGTTGTTCTTCTCTACGACTTGATCTCCGCTTTCATGGCTTGTCTCCACCTTTTGTCTGTGAATGCTTCATCAAGGTTCATTGGTTCACTATCAACGACAATATAAAAAATCAAAATTAGTTACTTCTTTTGTGTCCTAATAGAGCTCTTGAATAATCCTCGTCCTTTCCGGCTGTTTATTTGAACTTTCTCGAGAAGAAGGAGATGCAACATTGGTTAAAGAAGAAGGTGGAGTTGTATCCTGCACAGGTTCCACAGTCTCTGGTTCTTCTTCATCACCAAAGTATGAAAGAAAATCATATGTAGTTTCTTCCTGAGCTTCCCAATTCCATGCTAATTCTTCATCAAATTCAACATCACGACTCATCACCACCTTGCCGCTACTTGGGTTGTATAACTTGTAGCCTTTTGAACTCGTATCATCGCCAACAAACACATGCTTGACACTTCGATCGTCAAGCTTCACTCTCCCTTGATGTGGCACGTGAGCATAAGCTATGCTCCCAAAGATTCTCAAGTGCTTGACACTTGGCTTTCTTCCACTCCATGCTTCTTGAGGAGTTTGATCTCTAATATTTCTTGTTGGAGACCGGTTGTTCAAATAAACTACACAAGAAAGAGCTTTGGCCCAAAATTCCTTGGGCATACTTTTAGCTTTCAACATATATCTAGCCATATTAAGAATAGTTCGATTCTTTCTCTCCGCAACTCCATTTTGTTGGGGTGAATAAGGTACCATTAGAGGGCGACGAATTCTGTGAGACTGACAAAAGTCATTAAATTCTTTTGAAGTGAATTCGCCTCCTCTATCGGACCTTAAAACTTTTATTTCACAGCGACTTTCTTTTTTCACAAGTACTTTAATATTTTAAAAAGCAGCAAAAGATTCAAATTTTTGGTTCAAGAAATAAACCCAAGTCTTTCTACTAAAGTTATCAACGAAGAGCAGAAAGTATTTACTTTTACCAAAGGATGGTGGATTGATTGGCCCACACACATCAGTGTGACCAAGCTGCAATGGCTTGGTTGCTCTTGACATGCACTCCTTTGGAAAACTCCTCCTTACATGTTTTTCAAGAAGACAAGCTTCACACAATTGATTTGGATGGTTGATTGATGGTATCCCATGCACCATGTTCTTTTCTCCCATTGATTTGAGCGCTTCAAAATTCAAGTGCCTAAATCGCATGTGCCAACACCATGATTCATCTTGCACATTAGCCTTCATACACTTTGCATCAATTGTCTTAAGATTCAGAGAAAATAATCTATTCTTTGCCATATGCACTTTAGCAATTAGAATTCCACTTGAATCTCTAAGCCAAAGATGCGTATTTTTCATGTGGATGTCATATTCCTTTTCAAGAAGTTGGCCCAAACTCAAAATATTACTTTTTAACTCTACCACATAATAAACATCTCGAATTAACTTGTGGCCACCATTTTTACAGGAGATCAGAATCGTACATATCCCTTCGATTTGAACCTTTGGGGTATCTCCAAAAGACACATTACCTCTCACTGTCTTGATGATCTACACAAACATATCTTTGCATCCACACATGTGATTGCTTGCTCCATTGTCCAAATACTACGAGCTACAATCATCCTTATTTTCTTTCTTGAGTGCCAGCAACAACGTTGACTCATCTTCTTCTTTCTTGCCGTCAATAAAGTTAGCTTTCTCTTCAACATTGCTACGACATTCTCAAGAAGAATGGCCAAATTTATTACAATTATAACACTCAATTTTTTATTTGTCATACCTTTGTCCATTACTTTTTTTATAGTAGCCATTTCCTCTTCCTCCTCTTTGTCCGCGACCACGACCTCTGAATGTTTGGTGGATTTTAACTTCATTGTTGAAGTTGTTACCATTACTTCTTCCTCTTCCATGACCTCCACGACCTCGTCCTCGTCCGTTCCCTCGATAGTTTTTTTCACCTCTATAATCCTTAAAGGATTCTTGAGTGTTAAGAAGTTGCTGCAGTGGCACTTCTTGTTCTCCTCTTGATCTTTTCTTCATGGTCCTGTAAAGAACCCTCCAATTGCTCCACCTTCATAGAGTCTAAATCTTTAGACTCCTCAATAGCACACACCACAAAATCAAATTTAGGTGTTAATGTGCGAAGGATCTTTTCTATCACACGGACACGTATCGTCTTAATTGATTTACAACAGCCTTCACTGTTGGATTTTGTTGTTTAATAACAAAAGAAGTGTGAATGGAAAATGGTGGGAAAAGAAATGGAAGGAAGTGAAATTTTGAATGAGTTCACTTTACTAATGCACTATGTCCCTCATTGGTAGAAGGAAAGAAAATCTTTGTGTATATATAGAGAAGCTCATCTTTTAGCTCTTAAAGAGCTAAGAAAAAGGCAAGCCTCGCGCCGTCGCCGTCGTCGCTCGCTCGGCTTCGGCTTCGGCTTCGGCTTCGGATTCGGATTTGGATTTGGTCAAAGATCGATTGATTGATTAATCTTTTTTGGACAAAATTCTTTTCAAATATTTAATTAATTAATTAAATTAATTAAAGAAAATTCAATCCGGAATAACCCATGACTCGCGATCCGGTCCGGTCCAGCCCGTTTTTCTTTCCCGGATTATTTTAAATCCGTTTTACATTTCCCGCAAAATTTCCAACAGCTATGGCTACTCTGAAACAGTGTCAAACCTGTTCCAACAGCCATGGCTGTTCTGAAAGGTTGCAAACCTTTTCAGAAACAGTACCAAATTAGCTATAAATATTCCTTCAAATCCCAAAATATTTACTTACGAAATTTTCTGATAATCTTCTTCTTCTTTCGCACAAAAATTCCAGTGTGTTTTACAGCCTTCGAGTGGTTTGCTGTTCATCGGTGTTTTTGGTACCAACACTCAGGTGAGTTAAATCGTTCTATCCTGGGAGGATATATTC